GATCAAAAGTGACTTAGTGGCTCTGAATGCAAGGGTGAAGGGGCAGAGGCAGAGGGGCAGAGCGAGGCGCGGCGCCGGGCAGGAGGCGGAGGTGGCGGAGGCGGCGGAAGAGGAGACCATGCCTTTGAGGAAGGCGGCGGCCACTTGACTGGAGCAGCCTCGGCGGCGGCGGCCAAGTAAACAAACAGCCCCCCTACCCCCTCCGAAAAAACCCCCCAAACCAAACCCCAAACTAAACCCACCCCAGAAGCTGGCGGGCACGCAAGGTAAAGAGCCCCTGGGCGCTCCGGGTCCTTTGTCCTTGTCCTCGGCGTTGCAGCATGTCTGTGTCCTCCCCGCTTCCATCTCTGCATCCCCTTTCCCTCCCCCCACCTCGGTTTGGGGCTCAGGGGGCGCCAGCCTGAGGAGCAGGGCCCGGGCGCGGGCACCCAACGCCTTGCCGCCGCCCTCGGGTGCTCGGAGAGGCGACCTGGACGCAGTCTTGGCTGTGCTGGGTGGGCACCGGAGATCCTGGCTCTGAAGCCACCAGCCCGGCTGGCATCCCGCTTGCATGGCAGCCCTGGCAGATCCTGGGGCTTGGCCCCTTTGAATGAATTGGCTGTCCCTGGAAGAGGCAGGTATAGGCAGAGCTTGAGGAAGTTTAATTCCCCCCCTCCCGCCACACACCCCTTCTTCTCTGTGAGCTACACTTCTTCTAGCGAAAAGTGGAAGGGGGGGGGGATGCTGTGGGCAGGGTACCATTATTTGTACCGGCCCCGGTTGACTCTTTGCACCATAAATAAAGCAGATGGCGAGGCATTTTGGCATGGCATTAAAGTGGGGGGGGGGAACCTCAAAAATTGGGGTGATTTGGATGAGGCGAAGTGCAGCGGGAGCCACTAGGAGTGTTTGGCTTCTGGTAGGGCTTTTCTGGGAAATGGTCATCCCATTTGATTTGTGATAGTTAAAAAAATAATTGGAGCCTGCTTTCCAGACAGGCTCTTCAGTGTTATGGAGACATTTCAAAGTGGTCTGTTAACAAGAAATGCAGAAAGGCCAGTCCTTTTTAGTAATTGGAGCAGAGAACTTTTCCCTGTTGATCTGTGAAAAATAATGAAAAAATAGGCGTGTGTGTCCCCAATTTGATAGGAGGGGGGGAAAAAAAGAAAAGATCAGGCTTACTTGATTTTGATGTTTAAATCTTCCCACTGGGCAGCAGTTTGGTTTGATTGGAAATCTCCTGTGTGCTTTGTTAGCATTATTATTTTGTTGTGATCACAAAAGAAATCCTAGTTTGGGAGCTATAAACTTAATGCTGAATATCTCGGTAGTCTGTTGCTTTGGTAAGAAGTAGTGAATGTGACTGGGCTGCTGTTATTTTTTTTTAATTGTCCCAAGTTGAATGTGCATTGTTTCAACCGCATTGTTTTATAGATGTTAGTAAGGCATGGTCTCCTGTAGTGCACCCTTCTATGTACAGTTCTGTTAACTTTATTATTTTTTTCACACTCATTTGCTGTTTCAATCAACTGGAATCTCCTTTGGTTTCTGGTACATTTCTCTGTGGTAGCTATGATCCCTCCTCCCCAGGTGTATACATTGCTGTTTTGTGTCTATTCCAGTGTTACTGTTTACATTATGACATTCCTGTAAATGCACTAAATAATTAAACAAAAGGTGTAAATACAGGTGCTGTTTTGATTGCCGTTGAGACTCTTCCAACTTTGGTTATCTGGATGTGTGAATAAGTATAGATTTCTCTCTTCATCCTCCAGACCAAACACCCAAATCTTTAGACAGAGAATTAAAGCCAAGGTGTTGGGTAGCGAAGACATTTGTTGAACTGGCCTTCAACTTTTCAGTCACGTAATTTAACTGCACACTAATTTTTGTTTTAACAGTCTTCGTCATGGATCAAGGCAAGTTTGTGTGCACAATTAGGCTTGCAAATTACTAATCTCACATTGACTTTGCCTCTCGGTTCCCATCTGAGCATGGTTACCTTGAGAACTGTGGCATTAGCACAGTTAGAGCATGCTCCACTTGGGAGTTCGGGTGTATTCTATTTTTAATGCCACTTAATGAAGAAGCTTCTCACTCTGCAATAAAGGAAGCATAATGGAAGAGCAGAGCAATGATTGGTTATGGATACTGGAAAAGAAAAATTGCAAAGGTAAAAGTGGTATATAGGATATGTAACTTATTCAACTCTTTTAAATATGTTTATAGTTCCTTTTACATCCAATAAGAACTTGGTTCTAACAGAAAGCTGATTGAATAGATATTTTTAATTTTTTTTTATTTTGTAGTGTCTGAAAAGAATTAAAAAATGACCTTTAAGTTATGAAAGACAAACTGTGGATGGAAAATTGTTGGTATACCTTGGTGTTGACTTTTTATCTGTACATCTTGATGTTGTATAATACTTGTCAAAGAAAATTATCCTATTTCAATGATGAAATGTTTAACGATGAAATAACATTATTTTAAGCCATTCTTAAAGCACACCTTTCTTGTAAATTTAGTGCTAACTTCTTGTTGATTTAATCTGTTTTCATTCTATATCAATAGCTACATGAAGCAGATGCATAAGGTTTTTATTCATTGTAATACTTAGAAGTTGTTTCAGTTGGCACCACAAATCGGCATTCTCTAATATTTTTACAAGGGAAACAGCTGTAATCCTCTGGTGAGACAGATGGATATCCACACACACACACACACACACACACACACACACACACACACACACACACACACACACACACACACACACACACACACACACACACACGAAAAAATTCCTATAGATTTTTCACAGTGTATATCATTATGTGAGATTCTAGATATTTTTTTAAAATGCCTTTCTTTTTTTAAGGAAATTCCTAGCTAGAAAAGAGATTCATTGCTTATTTGCAGCAATCGATATATGCAGCACAGAATAAAAAGGCTAGTTCTTGATTTTAAAGATGTCACATATCAAATAACTCCATTCTTCCTTTAGTGTCTGTACATTGGTCTGAATAACTTCTGAGGATCCAATCCTGTAAACCTTTTAGTCATGCAATTTAGTCCTTCTGTTTGTCCTATTGACTGCCTTGGCTGTCTGGGATTTACATAGGCTAGTGAGTCCTCTGTAAATGAGCAGATATTTGCAGGATTATATCCTGGAAAGAAATTTTACATAAAAACAATAAAAGAAATAGTGTGACCTCCATGAGAAAATGAATACAGTTAATCATGGTTCTCATGGTCAATTTTGTAGGCAAATAATATGTACCTAGCTTTAAAGCTGTGGGCCAAGCCATGTTCCCTATTGATCAAGGAACCCCAGGTATATCACTAGGAATATTTGTCTGAATGGGGTAAGCAGAATTGGTCTGATACAACAATATCATGGCAAGAATTTCCAGGGGTATAAGAGAATGTAAGAGGATTTTAAAAGTTCTGAACTAAAATATATTCTTGGTTTTCACCAACTTAGAGCATATAACGGGTTTTAATTACTTTTGCATAGAATTATGAGGGTTTGTTTTTTTTTTTTTTAAAAAACATACTTATTCTAGAGTCATGTCACATTCTCATAGTGCGGTTTTTCATTCCTTCCAGTTAGTAGGAGCTTTGGAAGTGAAAGGAATGTAGGATCAGGCTCAGTGATTATGCCAGCACCATAGAGGGGTCCTGGGACAGATCTTCAGCAGCTGTAAGTTGGCATAGCTCCATTGACCTTAGTAGCAATGATTTACTTGATCCTATAATTTGGCCCACTATTTTTTTTCAACGTACCAGATTTTTTGCCATCCATAGCTGGATTAAGTAATACATTTCTGTCTGAGTAACGCCATGGATTTCAGTGGGATTGCTTACAGACCAAGGAGAGGAATAATGTAAGAGTTGGAGCAATGCTGATGGAACTTGGTACATGAACACTACTCCCGGACTGATGGCTTGGTCCAAAGTCCGTTGAAGTCAATGGGAGTTTTTCTGGCCTAATTTCTTTACATAAGAGAACTTGTAACTTGTATGATTATTTGAAGGGATTGACATTACTTTTTAAAGTAATTTCTTTTAAAATAATTATTAAGGATTGGCCAGTGGAGAAGTCATGTAAATGCAATCCAATAAACTTGCAAAATCCTTTTGTCCCTTTGCTCATTCATTTATTAGCTGTGTATTAATGGTCGGTGGAGGCAGTAAGCCAAGCAAATGTGTTGTTGTCTGTCTTCTTGAAAAATGAAAGATGCATTAAACAAATCATATGGAATAAATGCCAAAGGTTGTATAAAATCCAATGGAAAGCATATGTTTCTGAAAGTCGTAGACATGGTATACGAAGACATCTTTGTGTGTGGTACCATGTACCATTTTAGTACCTAAATTGTTTCACGAAGGCTGTTGAATGAATGAAACCTTTTGCGATTTAACAGGTAAGTCTGAATTTTCCCGTTTTTTTTAAAGGTGGGTAAACCAAGGCATAAAGTATTAAGCAACCTTTTTGAGATAACACAGCTAGTTGGTGGTGAAGTTTGAAAGAGAAAACTATCCCAACAAACAGTCCTGTGCCTTAAGCATTTGATGTCTTCCCGTCTAGTTGGTAGTTAAGTTTTTGAAGAGCATTTTCTGCTTCAGATAAGCTATTTGGGTGCATTTCAGAGCAGTGGTGAAAGTGGTTTACTTTCAGAAATGAAAATAAATATATAAACCAATGTGGGTTTTTTGTATAGTTGATATTTCATTTAACTTTTAAAAATCATCTGTCTACACAGTAAACTAAGCACTTTTGCTGTAAGACAAAGAAAAAAGTAGTCAATGGGCTTAAGAAATGGTTATTTGTTTTTTTTCTTGATGGAAATATAGGATGCGTTTCCATTGGCCTACCCTTACAAAATACGTGCTAATTCCATATTAAGAAATAGTGCTAGTTAGAATTTTGATACATATTGCTATTGCAGATTCCACGGTAATGCTAACTGCTGGCTAGCTGGAAAAGTCAACATTTTAATTACGTGTGTGTGTGTGTGTGTGTGTGTGTGTGTGTGTGTGTGTGTGTGTGTACACACCCATGTGTATGTGAACATTTTTCCAGACGATTAAGAGGCAGGTAACCACTTATATACAGTGTTTCTTGCCAAGACAGCAAGCAACTAATGTGTACATTCTGTTCTTGAAGAATACATCCCTATTTGTCTATGGAAGCCAATATTACTTAAATTTACCATTTTATAGCTAAACTACTTGTAAGTAATTTGCTTTGGGCTTTCAGTTTTGAGTACCTTCAATTTTAGAGTCCATGTATTAAAACGTGGTGGATGTAAAGTAGGTAAAATTGTCAACAACTGTCCTCTGCTTATGTTTTCTCTGTAATTCTTTCCATGTTTCTCTTTAGCTTTTTTTGAAGAAACTAAGAATAATCTCAGCATCATATTGGTGCTTAA